TGCCTCGCAGGACTGGAAAGGGGGGATGTGAGGAATGATCCAGGAATACCTCAAATAACAGAAAGGAACAAGAAAAGGAAGAACTCCGCTTCCAGCTCTGATGAGCTAGTTTGTTACAGGCCCAGCAATGATCCGGACATGGCTGAGGGTTGTGGGACCCGGACATGGCTGAGGATTGTGGGACCCGGACATGGCTGAGGGTTGTGGGACCCGGACGTGGCTGAGGGTTGTGGGACGCGGACGTGGCTGAGGGTTGTGGGACCCGGACATGGCTGAGGGTTGAGGGACCCGGACATGGCTGAGGGTTGTGGGACCCGGACATGGCTGAGGATTGTGGGACCCGGACGTGGCTGAGGGTTGTGGGACCCGGACGTGGCTGAGGGTTGTGGGACGCGGACGTGGCTGAGAGTTGTGGGACCCGGACGTGGCTGAGGGTTGTGGGACCCGGACGTGGCTGAGGGTTGTGGGACCCGGACGTGGCTGAGGGTTGTGGGACCCGGACGTGGCTGAGGGTTGTGGGACGCGGACGTGGCTGAGGGTTGTGGGACGCGGACGTGGCTGAGGGTTGTGGGACGCGGACGTGGCTGAGGGTTGTGGGACGCGGACGTGGCTGAGAGTTGTGGGACCCGGACGTGGCTGAGGGTTGTGGGACCCGGACGTGGCTGAGGGTTGTGGGACCCGGACGTGGCTGAGGGTTGTGGGACCCGGACGTGGCTGAGGGTTGTGGGATCCAGACACTGCAACCTCCATCCTAAAACATATTTATTCTGATATGATCATAAACCATACAGGATAGAGAATGGATATTCCTGATACAACGACCAATCAGATTATTTGCACCCAGCTCCTCCCACCATTAGATTCTAGGAGGCGGGTGGGGGATGGACAGGGAATCTGTAGATCTTGACATTTCTCAGATGAAGGAAATCAATGTGATATAAAGAGAACCAGTCATAGCAGAGAGGAGGGATCATGTCCCTAATATTCCACTCTTACCCTTTATACTCCCTCAGGCCGGGCTTTATATTCTCAGAGGATAGGTGTAGGAACTCCCCCCTTCTGAGCTACTTCTTCAGGGTGAGGCCACCACTGTTGAGGTATCCTCAGTGATTTTTAGTTCAGGGTGAGGCCACCATTGTTGGGGGATCCTCAGTGATTTGTATTTCAGGGTGAGGCCACCATCGTTGGGGGATCCTCAGTGATTTGTAGTTCAGGGTGTGGCCTACATTGTTGGGGGATCCTCAGTGATTTGCATTTCAGGGTGAGGCCACCATCGTTGGGGGATCCTCAGTGATTTGTAGTTCAGGGTGTGGCCTACATTGTTGGGGGATCCTCAGTGATTTGTAGTTCAGGGTGTGACCACAATTGTTGGAGGGTCTTCAGTAATTTGTAGTTCAGGGTGTGACCACCATTGTTGGAGGGTCTTCAGTGATTTGTAGTTCAGGGTGTGGCCACCATTGTTGGAGGGTCTTCAGTGAGTTGTAGTTCAGGGTGTGGCCTCCATTGTTGGGGGATCCTCAGTGATTTGTAGTTCAGGGTGTGGCCTCCATTGTTGGAGGATCTTCAGTGATTTGTAGTTCAGGATGTAGCCGCCATTGTTGGGGGATCTTCAGTGATTTGTATTTCAGGGTGTGGCCTCCAATGTTGGAGGGTCTTCAGTGATTTGTAGTTCAGGATGGGGCCACCATTGTTGGAGGGTATTCAGTGATTTGTAGTTCAGGGTGTGACCACCATTGTTGGAGGGTCTTCAGTGATTTGTAGTTCAGGGTGAGGCCGCCATTGTTGGAGGATCTTCAGTGATTTGTAGTTCAGGGTGTGGCCTCCATTGTTGGAGCATCTTCTGTGATTTGTAGTTCAGGGTGTGACCACAATTGTTGGAGGATCTTCAGTGATTTGTAGTTCAGGGTGTGGCCTCCATTGTTGGAGGATCTTCAGTGATTTGTAGTTCAGGGTGAGGCCGCCATCGTTGGAGGATCTTCAGTGATTTGTAGTTCAGGATGAGGCCGCCATCGTTGGAGGATCTTCAGTGATTTGTAGTTCAGGGTGTGGCCTCCATCGTTGGAGGATCTTCAGTGATTTGTAGTTCAGGGTGTGGCCGCCATTGTTGGAGGATCTTCAGTGAATTGTAGTTCAGGGTGAGGCCTCCATCGTTGGAGGATCTTCAGTGATTTGTAGTTCAGGGTGTGGCCTCCATCGTTGGAGGATCTTCAGTGATTTGTAGTTCAGGGTGTGGCCTCCATTGTTGGAGGATCTTCAGTGATATGTAGTTCAGGGTGAGGCCGCCATTGTTGGAGGGTCTTCAGTGATTTGTAGTTCAGGGTGTGGCCGCCATTGTTGGGGGATCCTCAGTGATTTGTAGTTCAGGGGGAGGCCGCCATTGTTGGGGGATCTTCAGTGATTTGTAGTTCAGGGTGTGGCCGCCATTGTTGGGGGATCCTCAGTGATTTGTAGTTCAGGATGTGGCCTCCATTGTTGAGGGATCCTCAGTGATTTTTAGTTCAGGGTATGGCTGCCATTGTTGGGGGATCCTCAGTGATTTGTAGTTCAGGGTGTGGCTGCCTTTGTTGGGGGGTCTTCAGTGATTTGTAGTTCAGGGTGTGGCTGCCTTTGTTGGAGGGTCTTCAGTGATTTGTAGTTCAGGGTGTGGCTGCCTTTGTTGGAGGGTCTTCAGTGATTTGTAGTTCAGGGTGTGACCACCATTGTTGGGGTATCCTCCCTGATTTGTAGTTTAGAGTGTGGCCTCCATTGTTGGAGGGTCTTCAGTGAGTTGTAGTTCAGGGTGAGGCCACCATCGTTGGAGGATATTCAGTGATTTGTAGTTCAGGATGTGGCATCCATTGTTGGAGGGTCTTCAGTGATTTGTATTTCAGGGTGTGGTCGCCATTGTTGGGGGATCTTCAGTGATTTGTAGTTCAGGGTGTGGCCTTCATTGTTGGAGGATCTTCAGTGATTTGTAGTTCAGGGGGAGGCCTCCATTGTTTAAGGATCTTCAGTGATTTGTAGTTCAGGGTGAGGCTGTCATTGTTGGGGGATCCTCAGTGATTTGTAGTTCAGGGTGTGGCCTCCATTGTTGGAGCATCTTCAGTGATTTGTAGTTCAGGGGGAGGCCTCCATTGTTTAAGGATCTTCAGTGATTTGTAGTTCAGGGTGAGGCTGTCATTGTTGGGGGATCCTCAGTGATTTGTAGTTCAGGGTGTGGCCTCCATTGTTGGAGCATCTTCAGTGATTTGTAGTTCAGGGTGTGGCCTCCATTGTTGGAGCATCTTCAGTGATTTGTAGTTCAGGGTGTGACCACAATTGTTGGAGGATCTTCAGTGATTTGTAATTCAGGATGAGGCCGCCATTGTTGGAGGATCTTCAGTGATTTGTAGTTCAGGATGAGGCCGCCATTGTTGGAGGATCTTCAGTGATTTGTAGTTCAGGGTGAGGCTGCCATTGTTGGAGGATCTTCAGTGATTTGTAGTTCAGGATGAGGCCGCCATTGTTAGAGGATCTTCAGTGATTTGTAGTTCAGGATGAGGCCGCCATTGTTGGAAGATCTTCAGTGATTTGTAGTTCAGGATGAGGCCGCCATTGTTGGAGGATCTTCAGTGATTTGTAGTTCAGGATGAGGCCGCCATTGTGGAGGATCTTCAGAGAATTGTAGTTCAGGATGAGGCCGCCATTGTTGGAGGATCTTCAGAGATTTGTAGTTCAGGATGAGGCCGCCATTGTTGGAGGATCTTCAGTGATTTGTAGGCCGGGCTTTTAATTCTCAGAGAATAGGTGTAGGACCTCCCCCCTTCTGAGCTACTTCTTGTCTCTGCCACCCCAATCTCCAAGCACCGTCTCTTGGTCCCGCCCCCTACCCACGTCCCAGTCCCGCCCCTTTTAGAGAATACAGAGCCAAGTATCGTTTTGTGGTGATAAGTCATTTGTGTGGAATCTGTTAATGATAACAAGAAAAGCAGTAAAACAGCAATGGACCCCCCAGCAACAAAATATCACCCCACCAATAAGAGACCCCAGCAGTAACAACAGATCTCCCAGCAGCCAACAAAGACCCCGCCCTCAACAGTAGATCCCTTCCAGCAACAATTGACCCCCCCCCTCCCCCAGCAGCAATAAATCCCACTTCATCAACAATAGACCACCACACAATAACAGATCCCCGCCAGCGACAATAGATCCCCCTGCAGCCAACATCAATAGACCCTCTAGCACCCCCCAGCACCCCCCTTGCCATTACATTCATTCTGTACTGAAGGTGCTGGGACTGCATTCCCCCGCGTTCCCCCTGAAAATACTCAGGTCATGGAAGCCCAGATGCCAGATTGTGCCGCGCCGGTTACCTGGACTTTATATCCAAGACAAGCGGATGTATTATACAGTATTTATAAAGCCCCCATAGTTGGCTCAGCGCTGTACATTACAGAGGGGACAGAACATGTGACAGAACAATACCAATACAATGTGATACATGAGGGGATTCAGGGCCCTGATCCTTGGAGCTTACAATCTAGGAGGGAGGGGATGGTGGCACAGGAGGAGATAGCTGTGGGGGATGGAGTGGTAGGAGGAGTGGAGGAGGTCGGCAGGTTAGCAGGGGGTGGGGTAGGCTTCCCTAAAGAGATGGGTTTTCAGGGTGCGCCTAAAGGAGAGGAGAGTAGGTGATAATCTGATGGGTTGGGGCAGGGAGTTCCAGAGGATGGGTGACACCCTGGAGAAGTCCTGGAGGCGGGCATGGGAGGAGGAGATCAGGGAACTAGAGAGAAGGAGGTCTTGTGAGGAGGAGAGTGTGCGTGTTGGGCGGTACTTGGATATTAGGTCAGTGATGTCGTTCGGGGCAGTATGGTGGACGGCTTTGTATGTCAGGGTTAGGATTTTGAATTTGATCCGTTGCGCAATCGGAAGCCAGTGGAGGGATTGGCAGAGGGGGGTGGAGGACACTGAGTGGAGGCCAGTGGAGGGATTGGCAGAGGGGGGTGGAGGACACTGAATGGAGGCCAGTGGAGGGATTGGCAGAGGGGGGTGGAGGACACTGAGTGGAGGCCAGTGAAGGGATTTGCAGAGAGGGGTGGTGGACACTGAGTGGAGGCCAGTGGAGGGATTGGCAGAGAGGGGTGGAGGACACTGAATGGAGGTCAGTGGAGGGATTGGCAGAAAGGGGTGGAGGACACTGAGTGGAGGCCAGTGGAGGGATTGGCAGAGAGGGATGGAGGACACTGGAGGCCCGTGGAGGGATTTGCAGAGAGGGATGGAGGCCAGTGGAGGGATTGGCAGAGAGGGGTGGAGGACACTGAGTGGAGGCCAGTGGAGGGATTGGCAAAGAGGGGTGGCAGATACGGAACGGTTCGTGAGGTGGATGAGTCTGGCAGCAGCATTTATGATAGACTGAAGAAGGGATAGCCTGCGATGAGGTCGGCCAATGAGGAGGGAGTTACAATAGTCAAGGCGAGATAGAACCAGGGAGGGAATAAGTTGCTTAGTAGTTTCCAAGGTTAAGAACGGGCGTAGCTTGGAGATGTTGCAGAGGTTGGAGAAGTTGCGGAGGTTGGAGATGTTGCGGAGGTTGGAGATGTTGCGGAGGTTGGAGAAGTTGCGGAGGTTGGAGATGTTGCGGAGGTTGGAGATGTTGCGGAGGCTGGAGATGTTGCGGAGGTTGGAGGTGTTGCGGAGGTTGGAGATGTTGCGGAGGTGAAATCTACAGGCTTTGGACAGCGATTGGATTTGGGACTGAAAGGACAGATGGGAGTCTAGGATTACACCGAGTACCCTGCCATGAGGGGAGGGAATGATGGTTGTGTTATTGATCTTGATGGAGAAGTCGGGGGGGGGGGGGGGGGGCACGGGATGGAGGGAATACTAAGAGCTGTTTTAGAAATATTGAGTTTGAGGAAGTGGAGTGACATCCATGCCGATATGTCACTTAGTAGGTTAGTAATTCAAGAGGAGACTGAAGGGGTGAGGTGAGCAGGAGACTGAAGGGGTGAGGTGAGGAGGAGACTGAAGGGGTGAGGTGAGGAGGAGACTGAAGGGGTGAGGTGTGGGGTAGAAAGATAGATTTGTGTGTCATCAGCATAGAGATGGTACTTAAAACTGTGTGCGTTTATCAAGTGACCAAGGGAGGAGGTGTAGATGGAGAAGAGTAGGGGGTCCAAGGACGGAACCTTGAGGGACCCCTACAGAAAGAGGAAGTGGAGAGGAGGAGCCAGAGTTATAGATAACGCTGAAGGAGCACTGCGATAGGTAGGAGGAGAATCAGGAGTGAGCAGAGTCTCTAAGGCCAAGAGAGTGGAGTTTTTTGAGGAGGAGGGGATGGTCAACAGTATCAAAAGCCGCAGAGAGGTCAAGTAGCAAGAGTATGGAGTAGTGGCCATTGGTTGGGATGAGTATGGAGTAGTGGCCATTGGTTGGGATGAGTACGGAGTAGTGGCCATTGGTTGGGATGAGTACGGAGTAGTGGCCATCGGTTGGGATGAGTACGGAGTAGTGACCATCGGTTGGGATGAGTATGGAGTAGTGGCCATTGGTTGGGATGAGTACGGAGTAGTGGCCATTGGTTGGGATGAGTATGGAGTAGTGGCCATTGGTTGGGATGAGTATGGAGTAGTGGCCATTGGTTGGGATGAGTACGGAGTAGTGGCCATCGGTTGGGATGAGTACGGAGTAGTGGCCATCGGTTGGGATGAGTATGGAGTAGTGGCCATCGGTTGGGATGAGTACGGAGTAGTGACCATCGGTTGGGATGAGTACGGAGTAGTGGTCATTGGTTAATGGGATACAAGAGACACCCAACTACTAGATCTAATATGAATGGGATATATGAGACCAACTACTACTCAATCTACCATGACAGGGATACATGAGACCACCTACTACTAGATCTACCATGACTAGGATAAATGAGACCAACTACTACTAGATCTACCATGACCGGGATACATGAGACCAACTACTACTCAATCTACCATGACCGGGATACATGAGATCACCTACTACTAGATCTACCATGACCGGGATACATGAGACCAGCTACTACTCAATCTACCATGACCGGGATACATGAGACCAACTACTACTAGATCTACCATGACCGGGATACATGAGACCAACTACTACTAGATCTACCATGACCGGGATACATGAGACCAACTACTACTCGATCTACCATGACTGGGATACATGAGACCAACTACTAATAGATCTACCATGACTGGGATACATGAGACCAACTACTACTCGATCTACCATGACTGGGATACATGAGACCAACTACTAATAGATCTACCATGACCGGGATACATGAGACCAACTACTACTAGATCTACCATGACCGGGATACATGAGATCAACTACTCCTAGATCTATCGTGAATAGGATACATGAGACCAACTACTATTAGATCTACCATGACTAGGATACATGAGACCAACTACTACTAGATCTACCATGACCGGGATACATGAGACCACCTACTACTAGATCTACCATGACTAGGATACATGAGACCACCTACTACTAGATCTACCATGACTAGGATACATGAGACCACCTACTACTCAATCTACCATGACCGGGATACATGAGACCACCTACTATTAGATCTACCATGACTAGGATACATGAGACCACCTACTACTCAATCTACCATGACTAGGATACATGAGACCACCTACTATTAGATCTACCATGACCGGGATACATGAGACCACCTACTACTAGATACACCATGACCGGGATACATGAGACCACCTACTACTAGATCTACCATGACTAGGATACATGAGACCAATTACTACTAGATCTACCATGACCGGGATACATGAGACCACCTACTACTAGATCTACCATGACTAGGATACATGAGACCAACTACTACTAGATCTACCATGACTAGGATACATGAGACCACCTACTACTCAATCTACCATGACTAGGATACATGAGACCACCTACTACTAGATACACCATGACTAGGATACATGAGACCAACTACTACTCAATCTACCATGACTAGGATACATGAGACCACCTACTACTAGATCTACCATGACTAGGATACATGAGACCACCTACTACTCAATCTACCATGACTAGGATACATGAGACCACCTACTACTAGATACACCATGACTAGGATACATGAGACCACCTACTACTAGATACACCATGACCGGGATACGAGTTGATGTTGGAATCCACTGGCATCTACTATACATGTTCGTCTGGACACCACACTGCCTACCACTGAAGGGACATTGCTGCAACTCATAGATCCAAGGAAGGCCTAACTGCTAACTACACTTTCCAATATCTTAGTTCCAATGACCTCCCTCCCCATGCCTACTAAACACCTTCCACTTAGATTGGTGGGCAATGGGCCCTGGAGCCGGCACCATATTAGGGTCAGAGATGCTTCCCTGCAGGCTTACAAGTAGACAGCTTTTGAATTTGGACCCATGCAGAACCCAGAACCCCTAGCACTGTGTGCCCTGATTTCTCTCCACCTCTGAACCCCTCTGTGCCCCACTCTGAACAATCCTGCCCCCCAGCACTCCTCTCACAGTACCCTTGGCACTGCCCCTGTCCCCGCTCCCCCTTGTCACCTTTGTAGGGTCAGGCAAAGAGGAGGAAAGGTGGAATCTGGAGTTTCTGGGCACCTCGCCCACTTCCTCCTCCCTTTGGTAACATCCGACCTCCCTTGCGCGGTCTGTAGAGGCCATTCAGTCCTCTGTCCTGTAGGGGTGCTGTGCCTATTTTATGTGTTCCTGGGGGGAGGAGGTGCAAACGTCTGGGCAGAGAAAATGTAGGAAGACAAATACTGAGATGCCTACAACCTCCCCCGTTACTATGGAGCCTTTCCAATGCAGCAGCCATTTGCTGGAAGTCCAATGTCCAGAGTTATTGTTGAGTTATTTTCAAGGAAAGTATTCTATTGGACTACAGCGCCCCCATTTGTCACACCTCCCACCTCAGATTTACATCCTTCTATATTATTCTGAACATGCAATCTCTGCATCAGACTGAAACTGGGGGGAGGGGAACTATCTAGTAAAAGTGACATCCAGCTTGACCTGGACATGACGACCACCAAATCTACCATAACGTGGATGAATGAGAGGCTTCACAGACGGGGGTGGGGGGGGATTACTTCTTGTGTTCTTCTATAATGAGTATCAGATAGGATAAAGGAAGGGGTTGGAAGGAGGGCGAACCCCGCAAATGTCAGTGTTGGGACCATTTTTATTACTTCTCCAGCTTTAAACAATGGACAGACGTGGTTGGGTTCGGCTTTAATAGAGTACCTAGATGTTGTAGAAGGTGTGGCCCCTCACCCCACAACTCTACTACTAGAGCCATATATAATAAACAGTATAGACTGGATACCACCAGAGAGAATGAAGGACAATTCCATGGAAATAGATATCTGGAGGTTAGGTGGGTTCACACAGGCCAATCTTTCTGCATCGATGTTTCCAAGTGGTTCTCCAAGTCATCCCTCCCAGAAGTCGATCCTCCGTAAGTCGTCTCAGGCTCGGTGTGACCTGGCCGGACCGGTGAGAAGCCTTTTCATATAAGAACATTTGTCCTCCTGACCTTATGGAGAGATCTCAGAATTCCTGTCATGGTGGGGGAGGGGAGAACACATAATCCCGGGTCAGGTGGGTTCACACAGGCCAATCTTTCTGTATCGATGTTTCCAAGTGGTTCTCCAAGTCATCCCTCCCAGAAGTCGATCCTCCGTAAGTCGTCTCAGGCTCGGTGTGACCTGGCCGGACCGGTGAGAAGCCATTTCATATAAGAACATTTGTCCTCCTGACCTTATGGAGAGATCTCAGAATTCCTGTCATGGTGGGGGAGGGGAGAACACATAATCCCGGGTCAGGTGGGTTCACACAGGCCAATCTTTCTGTATCAATGTTTCCAAGTGGTTCTCCAAGTCATCCCTCCCAGAAGTCGATCCTCCGTAAGTCGTCTCAGGCTCGGTGTGACCTGGCCAGACCAGTGAGAAGCCTTTTCATATAAGAACATTTGTCCTCCTGACCTTATGGAGAGATCTCAGAATTCCTGTCATGGTGGGGGAGGGGAGAACACACAATCCCGGGTCAGGTGGGTTCACACAGGCCAATCTTTCTGCATCAATGTTTCCAAGTGGTTCTCCAAGTCATCCCTCCCAGAAGTCGATCCTCCGTAAGTCGTCTCAGGCTCGGTGTGACCTGGCCGGACCGGTGAGAAGCCTTTTCATATAAGAACATTTGTCCTCCTGACCTTATGGAGAGATCTCAGAATTCCTGTCATGGTGGGGGAGGGGAGAACACACAATCCCGGGTCAGGTGAGACTCACTTCTCTCACATTTCCCCTTTACAATTATAAATAGACATTTGAGGACGTCGAATATTCCCGGCTCATAGGGGGTGTCTTATTTCACCATCAATACGTTTCCTCTCCACGCTCTAATGCTTTCCTTTAAT